AGTATCTCACTTCCCATGTTGGATCACTCTCCCCTTTATTTATTCTATCGGTTGGTGTTAGCAGATACTAGACTTGTTTATGTGCTCCCTTTGACTCTAGATGTGACTTTTTTTCTTCAAAAGGGTTCCATCTGTGGTTGATTGGACCCACAGACATAGAACCGATAGATAAGGAGGGCTAGTTTTATTACAAAAGACTCAGAAGTAAACTGAAAAGCTTCTTGTGACCTGGCCCTGACAGATTCACATCATTTCTTTTATGTCTGCTGACCGAGTAAGTCACTGACAACAGTCCAGAATCGAGGGGAAGAAGTCAGTGAACTTGACCTCTTGATGAGAGGAGCCATATACACAAACAGAGAAGGACCTGGGGTCAGTTATCCATAGAGAATATCAGCCACAAAGTGCACGGTGTATCACAGACACATGATGCCTATCAGATCACTCCACCAGCACGTGTTCACTTTAACTCATTGCTTCACAAAATCCTTTATATATGTATATGTATATATGGCCAGGGATGTGCAAAATGAGACTTTAAGAGTGATCTAAGAGTGTTCTCACTGATGGGAACACTAGGACTCAAAGCTATGGCTACTATCATTAGTCTGCATCCCAGGACTTCAGTGTCACAGGTTCTTAGTGTTTGCTCACGAAACAAACTGTTCTTCACATCTCTTTGCCGGTTTAAAAATATTTCCACACAATTGAAAGGCGAAGTGAGGCAGTGGAAACTTCCCAGAGGTTGGAATGAATAGATCTATGTTAGAATTCCAGCTCCTCCACTTACTTTACGAGTTTAGGCAAGTTGGTTACCTTCTCTGAGCCTTGATTCCCTGAACACTTTAAAAAGGTGGAATAAAGCCTAGCTTTCCAAGACATTGTGAGTTCTAAGGCTATTAACATCGAGTAGCTGACACAAACCAGATGCTCAGCATTTAGCAGCTATTTTTATTTCTTATTAAGTTTTGCAAAAGTCCTAGGGGGTAAGTATTGGTGCCCCACTTTGCAGACTGGGCAACTGAGCCTCAAAAGCAGTGAGTGGTTTGCCTGCTATCACACAGATATAAAACGGCAGCTCTGAGGCTGACAAATAAGTTTCTGTCCCACAAAGGAAGCTCCTTCCGACAACCCATCATCTTCACATCCCACTGCCTGCATAGCCACCCTGCGACATCTGCTCTGCAAAGCAGGGCGGGGGTTCTGGGTAGCAATAGGGTGCTAAACGAATGACAATTGTGGACTTATTTTTCCACAGGTTGGGGGAAATCTCCAAATATTATAGTCTTCTCCGTAATCCAATACTTTGTCTAGAACTTTAGATTTTCATACTTTCTGTGCTTCTTTGATTTCAGTAGCACTTGAAATAGGAGAGGCAAAGGTGTTCATGACTAGTATATACATGAGAAGATCAAGGCTCGCATTTAGCCAAATGACCGTGACTTCTCTTCATACTCTAGGGAGAGTGTACTCATTGTACTGTTTGCCATTAGGTAGATAGAAAAAGAAAAATTGGATGGAGTCCAGGAGCTTATAGCCCTTTCATCCTCATTAAAATCATGTCCTAACCACCTTCTATAAAGCCAACCATGAACCTCTTCAAAAACAGTGACATCTGGAATGGCATAATAATCGGGATAATTAGAACAAAAATGGTGCAGACACTATGGGGGAAGGGCAAGGAACCAGCTCTTTGATGGATAAACTCTGATGATCCACTCGATTGGACAGAGGGGCTCAGGGAGGGGCTTCCCAGTCCTCTTCCCACTTGCTCATCAACTCCTTTTCATTGTTGACACCAACATCTGCCTCTGAGCTCAAGGTGAGACGACTCATTGGGAAGAGAGCTACCCCAACCTGTGCAAGGCACAGGTTTTGGAAAGGTTATTTGGAGGGAAATGTGCTGTAGAGCCCATGAAACAGTGACTTAAGAGCAAAAGTATTTTTTAAAAGTATTTTTTGTTGTTTTTGACTATTTTGATGGTTTCTTTCCTCTCCATCACTCCCTCCTCTACTACTGAGAAGATAGATATAGATACAGATATAGATATAGATATAGATATAGATATAGATATAGATATAGATATAGATGGGAGTCTTCCTTTCCCTTAGCCTTTCCTCAGAGAAAGATCAAGGCCTTCTACACACTTACAAAAGGTACAAAAGCAGAATTTGGGCCAGGCAAGGAACTCTCTGGCTTGTGCAGTCACCAGGCAGTCAGAAGACTTGATTCAGGAGACTTGGATGTTTTCCCTTGGGCAAATTATTTATGGCCTGGGAACTTCACTTTATTCACCTATAACATGAAGACACTCATCAAAATATGAGAAGATGGGATGAGGTGACTCCACTAGACAGCATTTGAAAAGTGTTCTGGCAAAATGAGCGCAAGGAACACGGCAGGCACACTTGCCTTCAACTTTGGGGCTACCTGTTCTCTCTACCAGCTTACACCTACATATGCCCATGGAATGAGTTTAGTGATCCCCAAAATAAGGTCTCTAAAATGCAGTTAAAAGGGGTAAAGGGAGGGGAGAGCAGGCTTCTAAAATTATAGCAGTGGGCAACATTATCTTCCTTCTAGATCCCAGCTTACATTGAGAAAGAACCTCGTCTTAGAATTCTGGACAGGACCTGACCTTGGGCAAAGGAGCCCATTCTGTAAAGCTCACTCTTGTGACAAGGAGGCCTGGCCAAGGGGTCCCTGAAGAAGAGTGTCATGGGGGAGAACGCTCTCAGGCCCAAGCAGATCTGGATTCATGGCTCTGTTCTGGTGCCTTACTAGTTCTAGAACCTTCTCTTCTCTGAGTCGCAGTTTCTTCATTTAATCTATGAAGCAGGGTTAATTGAAGTTTCTATCTAACAAGGCTGTCCTGAGAATTAAATGAAACTAACTACGTACAAGAATTAACGCTGTGCTGGGCTTCTAGGGAGGATTTAATAAAGGGAAGTTGCTATATTATTAAGGCTATCATCATCATTGTTATTGTTACACTAAAACTGTTTGGATCTCACAAAAAAGGCTCTGTGTCCAAGCTCTCAGTGCTCTTTGAGTCAGTCTCTATAGGGATGTGTTCTGTAGGACCACATTCTCCCCAGGGGCTATACAGTATCCCCAAGTGGGTGCCCATCCCACTTGGCTCTCAGATTGGGAATGGAAACCATGCCCTCCTGTATCCTTTTTCTGGAGCCCTCCATTTTCCCCCTCGCCTGGCCCATATCTGTGAGCTGGAGTTGCTGGGCTCCAGGCTTCCCCAGGCCAGGCAGCCAGGAGGGAGAGGAAACCAGAATAAACATGTTTTGCAAGAGCAGGGCTGATTTAAGTGAAAGCAATTCTAAATAAGGACAACGCAGTCTTAGGGAGCCAGTGCCTTGGCTGGCCGCCTGTGGGCAGCTTCCTGCACGAAGGGCTTTGCCCTGACAAACCAAAGGTCGGGCTGATAAGCTGGGAGTGCCTGCAGCCAGGCTGGCAGGAAGGTCACAACAGGGCCTCTCCAACCAGCACTGGACACCATCATAGACCAAAGGCTGTGCCCATAGGGACAGAGAATCTAAGGCTCCAGTCTGGTCTCCAGCTCCTAGTGACCCAAAGCATCAGATTACCTATCTACTAGAAAGAGTTTGGAAAAGAAGAAGGAAATTTTTCTGGATGCCATGAAAATAAAAAAGGCAATATGTCAAAGCAGTTACAAACTCTCCGGTGGTCTACAAATGTTGGGACCAGCTCTCAACCTCAGCTCCACCCCCTGATAATTCTGTGCCCTGGGCAATTCGAGTCAGTTTCCTGAAACTCAGTTTTCTTATTTTGTGATATTCATACCTGTATTGGGTTCAAATGATCCCAGGGGCCATCAGGGCAGCAGAGCAGAAAACCAGTATTAGTTTCCTGGGACTATTCTAATTAATTACCACAAAACATGGTGCCTCTAAACAATAAATGTTTCTTTTCACAATTCTCCATACAAGAAGTCTAAAATTAGTTTTTGTGGTTCAAAGTCTGATGTCTTTCCAGAGACCCTCTCAGGGAGAACCTATTTCCTGCTCTTTGCAGTTTCTGGAGGTTGCTAGCTTATGTTGACTTGGGCTGCATCACTCCCTGCTCTGCATCCAATGTCACACTACTTTCTCATCTTCTGAGTACAGCAAAATTCCCCCTTCCCACATCCCTCTTGTATAAAGATACTTATGGTTACACATAGGGTCCATCTGGATAAGCCAGGATAATCTCATAGTTACACCTGAATTGAATCACATCTAAAGTCTTTGCTTTATAAAGTATCATTGACAGGTTCCACAATTAGAACCTAATATCTTGGATTTCCATTACTCAGTCTAGTGCACTTACTAACTTCTTGATTATTAAAGAGATGGAGAATCTCAGAAGGCTGCCACCATTAAAACATATCTTGTGTTGAAGCTGAGAATTAGGGAAAATTGAGGAAGGCCAAAAAAAATAATGTTGAAATTCTTCATATTATCAAGATTTGAATGGACCCCTGTCTTAGTTATCTTTTTAACCCAAGCAAGTGATCTAACAGAAACACTCAATACAAGCTTTATAAGTGGATGAATGCATGCATGGAAATATTTGCATAAATTTGCATTTCATTTTGAATATAGCGGAGCAGTTGTGTGTGTAGACTGAAATCAGATGACCAGATGGGAATCCTTATTAGCTATAAAACATTGGGCAAGGTTATTTGAGAGACATCAGTGTTTTCATATATAAAATGGAAATAATTATATGATCTACTACATGGGGCTCAGTACGGAATAAATGACATGATCCATGTAAAGGTATTTACACAGTCCCTGGCATGTGAGAAGCACTTATATAATATATCCATTAGCTATTAACTTTTGAAAGTTTTCAAATTTAATTAATTTAGCATACCATTTGTATATATCAAGAATTGACTACTTTGGTTGTGGGGGAGGAAGGTGGAGATGGTTAGTTTAGGGAGAAAAAGAAGGATTGGAAATATATCTTCAAGATTTACAGTAAAGAATTTTCTTTCCATCTTCAAACCAGATTCTCATGGGGACCATATTTGTGCTCAAGTTCTTCTAGATTTTAATCCTGGTAAACAAAACAAAACAAGCAAAAATGTTCATGACTTGAGGTATCTCTTTCATTTAGGAATTCCTTCAATAAATATTTGCTGAGTACCTACAATGAAAAGTCTTTGTATTCTCCCTTCCTCTGGAGGTGTGGGAATGAGATAAGGACTGGACCAGCCATGGAATGTTCTTAGGTCCCAAAGCTTTTGTCAGGCATGGGGCACTTAGCTATGGATGGAGTTGGGATAGACAAGATTGGCAATTGAAAGAATAATATCTTCATCAAGGAGAAATAGAACAAATACCAAAACCTAGATACCAAAGCCCAAGGGATCAGAAGACCTTAGGAATGAACAGGAGTTGGATGAGAAGAAACATCTGGAACGCATGTTGTTGCTGTGGTCACTTTATGTGCTTAATTCGAGAGCAGGCTTCATTTAAAGGAATTATTTTCAAGCATGTATGCTGTACCAAGTAAATAGCTACGTACACAGTAAATTTAAGATGGGTGATTGCAAACACAGTTTTAGAAGGTGCTACAAAGCAGACAGAAAGCACAATTATCAGCTCCAGGACAAAGAGAGGGCTGAGTTAGGGACAGTATTCTAAAGAAGTGACTGAAAATAAGATATTAGTCTAAAAGGTATTTTAAAACAAGTATGTTGAGATCCTCAAAGAAAGGAATGTACTAAAATGAGCAAGACTATATGTTTATTTATTCTTCATGGATATGTCTCTGTGTTGTGCATGTTTGCTTCAAAAAGTTTGGGGAAAATGGAATGAAAAATTTATTTTATTAAATATTTTTGAAATCTGTGCAAAAAAAAAAAGTGACATGAAATTTCAGTAGGGTTCACATGTTTCCTGTAGACCCTAGCCCTTTCAAAACACACTTTGAAGAATCAAATGTAAGAGACTTCAAGAGATTATCTGGTTTAGACCTCTGCCTTCAGAGGCCTGGTTATCCCCATTTTGTAGATAAGATTCCTGAGGCCCAAAGAAACAGGAAATAGTGGTGGAGAGAAAATGATAACATACATCTTCCTGCTTTTCAGTTCTCTATACTTACATACAGGGCAGATAAGGAAAAAAACACAAATTTTAAATTGTAGTTGCTAGATTCCCTCTATTAGCTATGGTCAGTTGAGAGGAATCAAAAACCCAAATAATAGTTAAAACATATTTCTATATTGTGTATAAAGAAAACTAAAGATTATTGTTTACAATGTTCAAAGTAACACTAACCACAATAGCTAAAATGTGGAAACAACCCAATTGCCCATCAACAGCAGAATGGATAAATAAAATGTTACTATAACCATACCCTGACATATTATTCAGCATTAAAAAAGAATGAAGTACTTACACACAATAAAATGTAGAGGAACTTCAAAAACAAGCTAAGCCAAAGAAATGAGGCAAAATGATCACATATTATGGGATTCCACTTATATGAAATGTCCACAACTGACAAATCCATAGCAACAGAAAGAAACTGGTGGTGGTTCCCGGACTGAGGGAGGGTAATGGGGAGTGACTGCTTAATGGCTATGGTGTTTCCTTTTGGAATGATGAAGATGTCAGGGAACTAGATGGAGGTTGTGGCCACACAAGCAGTCAATACACTAAATGCATTTTCAGACAGTTAATACTTAATTACGTCATATGAATTCTACCTCCACTAAAAAAAAAAAAAAAAACAAGGAACAATGTAGAAGTGGGAAATTCAACACTGGTAGGCAGCTTTGTGAAAACTGTGGACATCCTGCTCCTTCTATCCTGCAGTTCCACCCTACACAGCTTTTAGCAGCCACCTCATGGTCCAAACCTTCTGCTCACACTCCAGTGACAACAGCTGCATTGTGGCCATCAGGAAGGAGAGAAGAACAACAGGGGGTGAGGGAAGACCCTGGAGAGGGACATCCAAATTGAGATATGAAGAATGTGCTAGCCGGTGCCGCGACTCACTAGGCTAATCCTCCGCCTTGCGGCGCCGGCACACCGGGTTCTAGTCCCGGTCGGGGTGCCGGATTCGGTCCCAGTTGCCCCTCTTCCAGGCCAGCTCTCTGCTGTGGCCAGGGAGTGCAGTGGAGGATGGCCCAAGTACTTGGGCCCTGCACCCCACAGGAGACCAGGAGAAGTACCTGGCTCCTGCCATCGGATTGGCGCAGTGCGCCGGTTGCAGCGCGCCTGCCGTGGAGGCCATTGGAGGGTGAACCAACGGCAAAGGAAGACCTTTCTCTCTGTCTCTGTCTCTCACTGTCCACTCTGCCTGTCAAAAAAATAAATAAAAGAAAATGTGCTGGGATCAGCCAAGGGAAGGAGAGATGTGAGCAGCTCTCCTGAGCAAGGGTGCAGGGCAGGGTGGGGTGAGGTGGTGGTGGTGGTGGTGGTGGTGCAGGTCTCAGGTCTCAGGTCTCAGAGGTGGGAGACATCTATGCAGCCTGGTGCCTAGCAAGCAAAGAGAAGCACTTGGGAGAGATGGGCAAAGACTGGATCACCCAGGCCAGCTGAGGCCTTGCCTGGCTCTGTTTCATTTCCTTTTATCACCCAGTTCTCACTCATTTTACCATACCACACTCCTGAGCCTTCAGGAAATCGATTCAGCAAAATAACCAAATGAGAGAAGAGACTAGAGATGGCCTTTGGTATGCTTAAAAGCACACATTTCATCTTCTAGGCGAGGACTTTTTGAAGTTATTTACCTCTCAAAGACAGCTGCCAAGGACCTCATGACTTAGGGGCCCTCTCCTGTCTCCTGACACGTGTTTTACTGCTGCCCTTCCAAGGGTCTTCTCTACTGTCTCCCTCCTTCAGTGACCTCATTCTCAGTGTCAGTGAGAGCCAAGGTAAATCGTGTAGACTTATGGCCAGGGCCAGCTGCTGAGATGTGAACTTGTTATTTGTCTCCCCAGGCCCCAGGGAAGAGCATTTGGTAGAATGAAGAAGAGGTTGTTGCCTTGGGTCACCCATTTCCACTGTTTGGGCCTTGATGGGAGCTGGAATTTTATGTACCAAACAGCACAGCTGGGTACAGCATGCCTTGTCTGTACCTTGTATGCCTGAGGAGAGAAGGCAAGGTCCTGTTGAGCTCAAAGAGGGGCTCCAGGACACAGTGCCACAGTTGTTGTGATGGCCCAGAATGGCAGAGCTGGAGTCCTGGAGAGGTGGAATGACTGCCCCAAGGGCAGACAATGAAGTTTCAAGCACCTTAGCTCAAAGTGTACAGGGATATCATTAAACATCTTCTGAGACTCAAACTGGGAATGCCCTCCAAATGGAAGAATTTTGACCAGAAAACCTGAACTCATAAATTAGAGGAGACAAGCACACAAAGGTCACTAGAAAATGAAGATGTGAACATTGCTGAGTATTGGAGTATGTTCCCAGTACGCTTGCATCTGGGAATAAAAATTCTCCCAATTGATTGTTGATCATGTGCTTGACACTAAGTGCATTCTGTGTTTAAATCTACTTTGTCATTACCCCGGGGCTATAAGGTCATGAGGTTGTCTCCTTTTCCTAGGTGAGAAACTGAGTTCAGAGAAGTAATACAACTGGCCCTGCTATTAAGAGATAGAGCCTACCTAGAAAACCATTTGTATACATGTTTTTAGTCAATGTCCTGTGCTATTTCCCTTTAAACTCTGCTAAGCAGCATTCCCCTGTCCAGGCAGACATGGAATCGTTTTTCACAGTGCTGGAAGAGATTTGGAGAAATTTCCAAGCTCTCATTTGATTACAAACAGAACCAGGGTAGCTGAAGACAAGAGATGCCAGCGTGAGGGCTGGCAATTGACAGGAAGTCGAGGAGAAGCAGAGCCTTGAAGTGATCTGCACAGCTCCTAATACAGGCTGGGTAGTTTCCATCCACCCTTGAAAACGCAGTCTCTCTCTGCAGTCTCTCTGGGGAGAGCTCAACTCTGGTTTTAGTTGGGTTTGGCCTATGGGCGTCATCCTCAGGAGAACTGAGGGCAAGGAAGAGGGTGTGCATTCACTGGTTCCCCCTGTGGGACCCCAGGCCCTCAGTGGCTGGGTCCTCTACCCAAGGTCTTGACACCTAACAAGTAGCTCCGGCTGGGGCCACAGCACAGCTATGTTTGGCCTCTACTATCCCGCGTTTGCTTCTCTTAATTCCACCCATGCCCTTGCTAGTAGTCCCTTCATTAAAGTCTTTTCAGTATTTTGTCCGAGAGTGCTTTCTGTTTCCTGCTGGGACCCAGGGCAACTCAGACAGAGTTTTAGGCCTCAGAGGGATGTCAAAGTCTTGTACTCTTGTGCTTTTCAAACATTTTTCATTTTACCTGCAGAAATGTTATAAGAACTCCAATTATATGGGGCTGGTGCTGTGGCACAGTGGGTTAAAGCCCTGGTCTGAAGCGTCAGCATCCCACATGGGCGCTGGTTCTAGTCCCGGCTGCTCCTCTTCCAATCCAGCTCTCTGCTATGGCCCGGGATAGCAGTAGATGATGGCCCAAGTCCTTGGGCCCCTGCACCCACATGGGAGACCCAGAAGAGGTTCCTGGCTCCTGGCTTTGGATCGGCGCAGCTCTGGCCGTTGCGGCCAACTTGAGAGTTAACCAGCGGATGGAAGATCTCTCTCTCTCTGTCTCTACCTCTCTCTGTAACTCTATCTTTCAAATAAATAAAATCAATCTTAAAAAAAAACTCCAATTATAAAACCATTAAAATTCTGGAAGGCCATGGAACCTCACCTGCTCAGCATCCCACCCCCAAACACACCTCTTCCCCTCCCCCTTCCTCCTCCTTCTCCATGCAACCCAAGGATTTCAGGGCACACATTCTAAAGCCAGGTGACCTCATCCAAACCTCTCACTACATGCGAGGGGAGAAGGCAATTGGCAAAGGCTCTAAAGTGTCTTTTGTTGGCTCGAGTGGGTCCAATTTATGCCCTTGGCCTTCATCAACGGTTTGCCTCAATATCTTCCAGAGTGTAAAGTCCCGTAAATCTTCCCTGAGAGCGGGGACTTGACCGCCAGGCTGTGTTAGACAAACACTGA